ACGTAAGTAGACACCTCAAAACGCCATGCACCATTGTCATCGCGTAAAGTACCGCTCCTCACGCAAGGCATTGACCTTATTACGTAACTCCCCTAACTCATCCTGGAGGTGAGAACGGGAGATAAACGTCGTGGCATCTTTGTCGGTCGCCTATCATGAAGTGATGGTGGAGAAGAGGCGATGATGTGACATAATAGTGATGACTCTCGTTGTGGAGGTGTATATTCGGTCGATCAGGTGATGCTCTAGGTGAGGTGATGGCTCTCGAAGTGGTGGCTGCTCATCATTCGTGCCATCAAAAGAACGCTTACTAGCTTGCCACCAATCAGTGGCAAGCTCAGCTTCCGTGGGTGTCAGCCTCTGTAATGGAGTGTTGGCCTCCTAACAATATAAAAGCTCAAACAAAGTTAAACGCGTACTAGTAATAACTTGTTTATAAACATATGGTAGTATTTGTGTTAACTTACATTATTTATTGTAGTATACGGTAGTAAATCATCCCATTGCTGCAAGGACCGTTTCCTCTTCCAGGAAATAGCCCTAGGAATATCATTAGAAGTTTTTAATGCATATGTTTGCATGGCGGGAAAGACCTCAAATATCCAAATCTACAAACATTAGTAATTGTTAAAGAATTAATTATAATTTTAGAAACATTATATAAAAATTATTACCTTAAAGGCCTAAATAAAGCCTGACAAAGTGTATTTGGAACCATCGCCACGCAAACTTTTCCGACCATCAAAGGCATATGACAACTTATTCCATGTAGCTCTCCATAGATACGAACCCCACGGAAACAGGTTCCATGCATTTAGGTCCTCTACCAATTTAATTAGATCATTAGGAATAGGTTGTCGGGCCTCTCTGCCTAAAAAGCCGGCTTGCAAAAGTATTAGAAGGCATACTCAGACAACATCGACGTCATTCATCCGAGTAAAACCATCTTTCTTATTCAATAATCTCGTCAAGTCTTCCACGTGTAAATTCAACTTCTCCGTTGACAGCTCAGGAAAAAACCCGGGAAAACCATGATAGGCGGGTAATATGTCTAGTGTACCGATCTACATCATCGTGTCCGAAGCGTAGACCGGTGATTAAGCAAAACTCCTCCCGCCCAAAACACGTATACGCCGGTGGAAAATCAAACCATATCTCTTCATCACGATGTTGTATAGTCCCTGGTAGATCGCTAGTCATGGTTTGAAGAAACAGATGGGTCAACATAGCATCTCCACCCGGATGTTGTACTTTCAGCCATGGCCCGAAGCAAGTATCCTCAAATATTTTTCTTTGTGCAGGTGAAAGCTTCGACGCAATTGTTTTGGCCAGGCTTACTTTATTTCTTAAGGTCAATTGAGCCGAATAAAAGTTCTGCAAAAACAATAAACATACCAATTTAGATATACCAAAAACTACACTGTGAAGATATAACAAGAACAATAAACATAAAGAGTAGTAGTTTATTCTTCAAACTTAAATTTGCAACACTGTGAATTTATTATTTGTCTTTGTTTTTTTGTTGAAGTAATGCAATTCATTCAAGTTTCAATTTCCAGAAGAAGAATAGTTTCTGAAACTTTAAATCGCAACACGAAAATGAAAATCGCAACACGAATTTGACTATCGCAACGCAAGAATTGCATCGCGAAATGAAAATCGCAACGACAAAATCGCATTGCGATAGTCATTCTTTGTTTCAAATACTAAAATTGAAAGAAACTTGAATGGATTGCATTACTTCAACCAAAAGACAAAACAAAGACAAATACTAACTTCACAGGGTTAAAGACTAAACAGTTTAGCAGTATTGGCAGCAATCGAATGAATATAATAAGCAATCTAAGTGAAATGGTTAATATATTATTGAAAACACCAGTAAACTTATCATCAATTTCAATATGAAAAACCTAATAATAATGCAAAAATTTCAAAATAAAAATAATTAAAAAAACTAACCCTCGGTAGTTGATTTGGTTGATTTTCCATTTCTGATCGTGAATGATTTCGCCGGAGATGGAGACTGATATCGTCAGAGATGGGGACTGATTTCGTCGGAGATGGGGACGGATGTCGCCTTAGAGAGAGTGAGAGATGGAGATGAGACTGAGTTGTGATTTAGGGTTTTAGGTTATGAGTTGCGATTACGGGATATACTGTGGACGGTTCAGTGTTCCGATATATTAATATATTCGTGTTTGGAATTTGAAAAAAAAATGCGCGTTGGATACGAATGGCGCTATGTAAATCGCATTGCGATAGTCAGATTCACGTTACAATTTACGTATTCGCATTGCGATTTACGTATTCGCATTGCGAATTAGGAAAATCGCAACGCGAATTTAGAAAATCGCAATGCGATAGTCAGAATCGCGTTGCGAATCTGGAAACTGATTTGCGATACCGGAGATCGCGTTGCGAATTATCGATCGCATTGCGATTTAGTTGGTCATTTTGGCAAATCCAAAAAAAGTTGGTTAAAATCGTATATTATAAGGCATTTTTGGTCACTGAGGTTATTTTCTCTTGATAATATCTATATCAAGATTTGATGTGTCTGTCTCAAACGAAAATTTTATATTATTATAATATATATATCTATTTTGAAAAATATTTTTGAATTTGTCACTGATATTGATCACGTAGGACAAAAACATTGTCAGCAAGGATTAGGATTGGCATGGAACTTGGATCTGACGGATTCCGACCTAACTCGATCGGATCATATCAAATTTTGTTTAAAAAATTCAAGTTTGGATCGGTTCGGGTCGAGTTCGAGTTTATGGTGAAAAATACTCGACCCAACCCGACCTGAGAAAAATATATAATTTACCTTTATATCTAAGGATAATTTCAATAATGCCCCACTATATATTATTTTTCAATTAAATCTCTAATTTTATTAGATAAAAATAATATTTTTAATAAATATATTATTTCATGTCAAGTCGGATCGAATTTGAATTTTATCTCAAAAAATCGGTTCGGGTTCGGATCAATTAGAGGGTATATATTTTTTGGGTCAGGTTCGGGTGGATGATATATACTTTTCATGTCGGGTCGGGTTTACCCAAAATCCGATCCGACCCATGTCAATCCCTAGCAGGGACAAAGTCGGGATTAAATATTGACAAAGGCCGAAATATTATACTATTTGAGAAAAATAAAATGATTTATTAGATATTCATACTCAAAATTCAGCACGAATTAAGCGACCTCAGTGATTGAGGGATTATTGTTATCTTTGAAGTCTCGAGTTTGAGCATTACGTATGTAAGGGTATGAGCTTCCATTGTCAAATGGTTGAGAGTTTTTGTACAGATGGTACACTGTATTCATCCCAGATTTAAAACTCAAAATTCACAAGACAATACGTAATTTGTCTAATATTTAAACTTACAATGACTTAAATTGTTACTAAACTAAAAATTTGAGAACACGAGGTTATAATTCTTTAGTTTGACCTCTACCCGATTAAATATTTAATAAAATCTTATTTATTTCATTTAAATATTTATTTTTACATGAATCAAAATATTATTAAACTAAAATTATATCGAATATATTAATTTTTTTACCCGGACCGAGGGCCCTTTGTGCCCAACAAAACTCTGCCCCATTAATATCATTCCAAATATCATATTTAAATCTTTACTATATAATAAATTAAGTAATTAAATTTTAAACGTAATGAACTAGAAGAGGTAAAATCAGCCCAATAATCTAAGCGGGTAAATTATTTAGTCAGCACTATTTAAAAATTATTTTGAAATCTACGATATTTGTTATAATGTTTATAGTGTGATGAGTTTCATAAAATATATTAAAAATTAGAATTCGTCATATAATATAAAATAAAATTGTATAAAACTTATCACATAGATGCGACAAGTTTTAATTTTTAGGTATTTTATGAATATCATTACGCCAACATGACGAGTTTCACGTATATTATAATAAATATCTTAAATATCAAAATAATTTTCGAATCAGTGGACTAAATAATTTAGCTACTTGAATTATTGAGCTGATTTTGCCACTAGAACTTTAGAAGCCTCTTTCTCTATTTCAAATGAGTAAACTAAAATTACTTGTAAATAAAAACACAATAATAAAAATTAAATCTAATAGCTTTTTTAAATTTAGAGATAATAGATTCGAACTCAGAGATAATTTGTGGTTGATATTTTCTTGTCACGTATCATAGAATTTGTGGTTGACACATTCTTGTCATTGCTGCACATTAATTAAGGTCCAAAATAGTTACTTTATTTTATATCATACGATTTTGAGATTTAAATATATCAAATATTTTGTATTATTTTAAAACTTAAAAATGGATTAAAATACTTTAATTTTTATTATTGGATAATTTTAATTTAAAATTTTAATATTTTTAGTAATTTTATCAGTAATAATAACCTTAGCTCTATTAAAAATAATTTTTTATTGTATGTTTATAATTTTATTAATTTGACCTTTAAAAATATACATTTATATAAATAAAAAAATTACATTATTTAGTTAATAATAATTAATATATTTAATTTTAAAAATTAATAGTAAAATTAATAAAAACTTGAAAATTTGTGCGGTTTAAAACTATATTTTTCCTTTTTTATTTATTGTTATTAAAATAACTGTTAAATGTAAAATTAAACAAAAATAACCTAATATTTTTAAATAAATAAAGTACTCAAAATTAAATTATAAGAATTTAATTCTGAATAAACTAATATTCATTACCTAAACTATTACTTTTATTTCATTTTAGAATATAAACTATATTTTTTTCAAAATCATACCCAACATTTAATTTAAATTTCATTTTAATACCCTGTCGTTAAAAACTTAATAGAATTTACACATCATTCATCACTCAACTTTCTTCTCACTCCTGTGTAACTTAGCCTTTAATCTTGTACTTATTTTAATATTAATCCAAACAATATTTGATTAACATTAAAATAAGCACAAGACTAAGGGTAAGGCATATTAAGCACAACAAAAGATGTGGTAATAACATTCGCACAATGCATTCTACATATACAGTTATTCACAAAACACAAATATTAAAGTTTCAGTTCAACGTATTGAATCCTAAGCTACAAAGCACTCAAAAGGTAGGGTACAGGCCTCACCCCAGCAATTTGATCATCCTCATCCTCATCCTCGCTCCACCTACACCATATCTGAATAGACCTTGGAGACACACACATATCAGCAGCGACAAAGCTGTAGTAAATGACCGAACCACCATTCCCGAGAAGTTCAAAGCTCCTTTTCTCGCAACAGTATCCGTTCACAGAACATGGGATTCTACATCCAATGTCATCTATGTTCACGTTGACATGTAAGGATACGGAGAAATCGGATGGTTTGAAACAAGCCAAGACCCTCTCAATCAGTTGATTCGAATTCAGAGCCTCCAAGTCATAACCAGATGCCTCGAAACTAGCATAACTGAAACCATCTTCCGGAGTGATGTGAATCGTTGAAATGGCATCCTTTTCAATCGAATTCATGGAGTAACCGCAAGGCTCAAACTCGAAATCGCATATATGAGACTCTGGAAGAATCTTTTGAATACCTGAATGCTCAGTCATCGAAGCTGCTGAGCATGCGTGAGTTTTGTAGAAGATAGAAGCTTTCTTCCTGTCTAGGCCGGTCATGCACATTTCTAAAGTATACACTGGTTTTGAATGACTACTCATTTGTGCAGAAGCAGAATAAACATGCCATTTCTTTGTTTTATCGGAACCACCCATAACATAAACCTTTCTACTAGGACGAAGCTTAGGAAAATAGCGATCAAGGATTGCAACTTCCTCAGAGAAGTTACGGTGTGGAAATTGTTGAGCCTCTGGAAATATGAAGCTCCCCCGAGTGTACCTCACAGATTGTACTGAAAGGGAAAGGCTGTTGGCCAACTTCAGAATAGCAGGGATTGCAAAGAGCAATTTTGTAGTGCCACAAGTCTTTATGATGATTTTGTATGGGTAAACAAAGAGGCTCGATTCAGAAAGAACATAAGAATCAACGTGGTCGTTTGACAGTGAAGAAACGATTGTGCATTCAGCCGGTTTTAGGAATTCATCCAGTTGTACTTTGGATAAGGCACGGAGGCCCATCCCTTGGGGATCAACAGAGAAACCAGGGTCAAAAAATGACACCTCAAGTCTTTTTTCGTAGCCTTCAAATCCAATAGCAGAGACAGGGAAGGCCATCTTGGATTATTAAAGTAAACAAGCCGAGAAAGAAGTACTAGAGAAGAAGCAAGCAAGAAAGTAAACAAACTAGATATGATTGCAGTGAGATTGAAGCTTTCGGACTACTAGGAACTTAGGGAAAGTCAGGATGGTTTTCGGACACACTGCAAAGGAAAAAAAACAGAAAATGTCAATTAAAAGATTCTCAGTACTTTTATGATGAAATATAAACTACATAAAATTCAACAAAGTCTCACGTTGGAGTAAGCAGCAGATCTGAACTTCTTGATCCCACCGTGCGGTCGAACGTCTTCAATGCTGTAACCAAGAGGAGCTTCATAGAACAAGGATCTACTACTACTGGACTTGATCTTTTTACCACCTTTGGTCTCCATTAGATCATTCAGTCTTCCCTGATAGAGCCACCCAAATAAAAATCAAGCACTAAACCATCTTCAAATAATCAAGATCCACCCCAAATGTATAGTACACAAACGACGAAACAATCGAATATAATGCTTCAGACAAATTCAAATAATTAAGATGCACCAATCTACATGGCACAAGGAGGTGAAACAAACAAAGAATTCCCTCAGACAGCAGCTAAATTTCCAAATATTAATAATAAGTCATAAATCATAACTCTGCATTTCCAAACCCTTCTTCAATGAACAAGACAACTAACATGTTAATTCACTGTTTCCCAGTCGATGGTTTAATCTTAGGGTTTACATTGAAAATATGGACCAATACTGCTACGCTTTTGGTCATAGAAGTTTAAATATAATATAATATATATATATATATATAATCTGGCACAAGTTTTATCATTCAAAGACTTCTATAAACTTTATTGTAAGAAATTCCAGGCTCTTCAATCGAATAACATAAATATATAAACATCCCTATGAACAATGAATAATCCACCAAAACGATCGAAACATAAAGAAAAAGATACAAAGCCAAAGGCTTACAAAACAATATTGAAATGAAAAGGTAATACTTACAATGTAAAACTAATCAAAACCTCAAAACAATTAGCACTCCAAGAAAAAACCCTCTTTCTGAACCCTTTTAGATCAACACCTGAAAATCCAAAAAGAAATTCCAAATCAATATTGCAAAACATGCAGAAAAATCAAACAAGAATCATCATTAACTTACCGGTTCGAATTCAACACTAAGAAAGTAAAAGAAACCCAGAAAGAATCGGAAAGAAACCAACCGAAGACTCAAAGGAGGTGCTGAGAAATTTTTTAATTTTTGATTTTTGTAATTTGAGTATTTTGCGAAGAACACGTCGTCGGGCGCTTTTATGGTGCAGTTTCGAAGAAGAAACTTCAAGGGTTTGTTTTACGTATTTACCCTCAGTATTTCTTTAAATAACGGTCGTGCCCTCCAAGATTGACATATGCGCAAGTTGGAAGCTTTGGTGGACAAGAAAGAACCATAAAAAAATACTAATGATAAGCATAAAGCATTTTATATAATAAAGAGTTAATTGTACCATACATCCCCAAACTATGAATCTTATTCTAAATTGATCCATAAACTTTTTAATATTTTAATATCATTCCTAAATTATGACTTAATTTAAATTAGTCCCCAAACTTTTAAATATTCCAAATACATACTAAAAATATGACCCTTAAGTTAGTCCCCAAACTTTTAAACATTCCAATAATATCCCCTTAATCATTCAAAACTTCAAAGTTAAAATTAGAATATTTAAAAGTTTTGGGATCAATATAGAATGAGAGTTATAGCTTGGGGATGAATTTGTTATGTTCAAAATTTTAGGGAATAAACTAAAATGAAAGCATAGTTTGAGGATGAAACTAGAATGTTCAAAAGTTTAGGATTCAATTTGAAATGAGGGTTATATTTTAGGGTCATATGATGCAATTAACTCTATAATAAATAGTTGGTATAGAAATATCTTATGTATAAACAATATTATTAGAATTCATTGAGAGACCTCAATGATAAAAAGGAATTGTTGTTTTTTAGAAGTTTCAAGTTCGAGTAATTGTGTTTGTAATGTGTGGTATCAATTGCTAAGAAATGTTATAAACAGTAACTACCTTGTGATCACTCCAAATTACTAAAAAAATATTATCATAATAACATTTTTTGTAGATACACGTGTGTTTATTTAGATTTAAAACCATACATAAACATTACTTCATAATCTTGTTACCATCTATTTTAAATAAGAATGAAATTATATACATAAAAAAATCTACATTTTTTAATATAGGTGCCGTATTGAAAACTTTGTTAAATTTTAGGGTGCATTCTTGAAAATATTCCTAATATAAAAATAATAATATGATATAAATGGATGAGCTGTCTCCCTTGATTGTCTTTCATTGCTTCGGTTCTCTTCCTTTCCATTCTATGCCTTGTTTTAATGCTGAATTTGGGCCCAAAACAATTTGTTGGTCCTCACCTGAAAATGACCCTTCACTTATTTCAATAGGGTAATCTATTCACCAAGTGATAGAGATGTTTTTTTTTTATATTTTTATTATCCTCCCGATTTTTTAGGGCTTTGCCTTGATTGGCCCGGATTGGTTAATTTCGTACATTTGATTTTGACAGGTGAATATCTCATCGAAGATTTTTTACATACACAATGTCTCAAACTCGAGATTTGTTTAATGATATCAAGTTGCTTACCACTTGAACCAATCCCATTAATAGAGATGATTTTATTTTTCATTATTGAACTTAAATTTTATTAATTAAGTTAAAAATATTAAAATAATTTTAATTAATTTCACGCGATTTATTTTTTATTATTTATGTATTTTATCAATTTAATTTTAATTTAATTTAATAAATTAATCTATTAATTAAATGGTGACACATATCGAGAGAATAAAGGAAGACTCAAAATTAGATAATTTGTAAGGAATAAGCCCAACTAACTATTGAATCAACCTTATGCTTATTTGATTTATGGTTAACAACGAGCATATATCTTAAATTATGTCAAACTTATTTAATTATCATGTCATTATTTTCGTTAACCGTTAACGATAATGATTTGATTGAAGCCATTTTAGTAGTTAAGTAACCTAATTGATAAATTTTATAATTTAATGGTAAAAATAGAATTACTCCTATAGTTTAGTGACAAAATAGGTAGTTTATCCATTTCAGTATTCACAATGACAAAACGCTTTTGTCCTTTCTACACCCTGTTCCCCAAAAATAGGTGATCCTAAGAGATTTTTTTAATATAATTAAAAACTAAACTTGTACTTATATTTTTAATTTTTTTATTAAAACTCTTGAGTAAATTATGTCATTAGTCACTAAATTTTATTCATGTTTTAGTTTCGATCATTAATTATAAAAAATATAATTATAATATTCTTTTTATTTCATTTTTAGTCATTCAACAATTAAATCTGAAACATAATGATATTACGATATTTTCTATATTTATGTTCTGTCTAAAAGAATCCATTAGATATTTTTTTTAATTTCATATTGTCGATGGAATTATATCACAAGTCTTTTGGCATGTCATTGTTTAATCCATTAATAATGGTTGAGTGACCAATCAGGCAATTTTCCCTTACCTGTATAAGTTTGATGATGTCATCCTGCAAAAAGAATAAAAAATAAAAACCTTTTAAAAGGTATTATTATTATTATTAAGGCAAAAGGGTAACTTTTAGAGAAAATAACTTCAGTGACCAAAAATCACATATAATATACGATTTTAATTAATTTTTTCCGGATTTGCCAAAATGACCAACAAAATCGTAATGCGATCGCTAATTCGCAACGCGATCTCCATTATCGCAAATTCGCGTTGCATTTTCGCAATGCGATAGTTGAAAATCGCGTTGCGATGGTCTACAGTATCGTTGCGATTTTCCCAATTCGCAATGCGAATAAATAATCGCAACGCGAATTGGGAAAATCGCAATGCGAATAAGTAAATCGCAACGCGAATTGGGAAAATCGCAGTGCGATACTGACTATCGCAATGCGATAATAAAAAATCGCAACGAGATACTTACTTTCGCAACGCGATACTGACTTTCGCAACGCGATAATACATAATCGCAATGCGATTTTCAAAGCGCCATTAGTATCCTGGCCAAGTATTTTATTTTTAAATTCCAAACATGAATATTAATATATTGGAACACTGAACTGTCCACAGTATATCCCGTAATCGCAACTCATAACCTAAAACCTAAAATCACAACTCAGTCCCATCTCCATCTCTCACTCTCTCACCCATCTCCGACGAAATCCGTCCTCATCTCCGGCGAAATCCGTCTATCTCCATCTCTCAGAGCCACCCTCACAATCAGAAATGGAAAATCAACCAAATCAACCAACGAGGGTTAGTTTTTTTTAATTATTTTCTTTTTGAAATTTTTGCATTATTATTAGGTTTTTCATATTGAAATTGATGATAAGTTACTGGTAATTTCAATAATAGATTAACCATTTCACTTAGATTGCTTATTAAATCAACCAAGAATCGCAACGCGAAATGCAAATCGCAACGCGATTTTAGTTTCGCGTTGCGATTCTCTCGTTGCGATAGTCATTTTCGTGTTGCGATTTCATTTTCAGAAACTATTCTTCTTCTGCAAATTTAAACTTGAATGAATTGCATTACTTCAACCAAAAACAAAGACAAATACGAAATTCACAGTGTTGCATATTTAAGTTTGAAGAATAAACTACTACTATTTATGTTTATTATTGTTTTTGGTATATCTTCACAGTGTAGTTTTTGGTATATCTAATTTAGTATGTTTATTGTTTTTGTAGAACTTTTATTCGGCTCAATTGACCTTGAGAAATAAAGTCAGCCTGGCCAAAACAATTGCGTCGAAGCTTTCACCTGCACAAAGAAAAATGTTTGAGGATACATGCTTCGGGCCATGGCTGAAAGTACAACATCCCGGTGGAGATGCGATGTTGACACACCTGTTTCTTCAAACCATGACTAGCGATCTACCAGAGAATATACAACGTCGTGATGAAGAGATATGGTTTGATTTTCCACCGGCGTATACGTATTTTGGGCGGGAGGAGTTTTGCTTAATCACCGGTCTACGCTTCGGACACGATGATGTAGGTCGGTACACTAGACATTACCCGCCCATCATGGCTATCCCGGGTTTTTCCTGAGCTGGAGAGGCCGAGTCTACACGTAGAAGACCTGACAAGATTTTTGAATAATAAAGATGGTTTTACTCGGATGGATGACGTCGACGTTGTCCGAGTATGCCTTCTAATTCTTTTGCATGCCGGCTTTTTAGGCAGAGAGGCCAGACAACCTATTCCAAATGATCTAATCAAATTGGTAGAAGACCTAAATGCGTGGAACCTGTTTCCGTGGGGCTCGTATTTATGGAAAGCTACATGGAATAAGTTATCGTCTGCCTTGGATGATCGAAAAAGTTTGCATGGCGATGGTTCCAAATACACTTTGACAGGCTTTATTTGGGCCTTTAAGGTAAGAATTTTTATATGATGTTTCCAAAATTATAAGTAATTATTTAACAATTACTAATGTTTGTTATTATATTGTTTGTAGATTTGGATATTTGAGGCCTTTCCCGCCATGAAGACATATGCAATAAAAACTTCAAATGATATTCCCAGGGCTATTTCCTGGAAGAGGAAACGGACCTTGCAATGGGAAGATTTACTACGGTATACGACAATAAATAATGTAAGTTAACATAAATACTACCATATGTTTATAAACAAGTTATTACTAGTACACGTTTAACTTTGTTTGAGCTTTTATATTGTTAGGAGGCCAACACTCCTCTACAGAGGCTGACACCCACGGAAGCTGAGCTTGCCACTGATTGGTGGCAAGCTAGTAAGCGTTTTTTTGATGGAACGATTGATGAGCAGCCTCCACTTCGGGAGCCATTACCTCGCCCAGAGCTATCACCTCACCCAGAGCCATCATCTGATCGACCCGGCTATACACCTCCACAACGACAGCCATCACCTATTCTGTCACATCATCGAGCCTCTTCTCCACCATCACCGCAAGATAGGCGACCGGCAAAGATTCCACGACGTTTATCTCCCTGTTCTCCACCTCCACCTCAACGGGATGAGTTAGGGGAGTTACGTGATGAGGTCAATGCCTTGCGTGAGGAGGTCGGTACTTTACGCAAAGACGATGGTGCATGGCGTGTTGAGGTGTCTACATTACGCGGTGAGGTAGCCGCTCTACGTGAGATGGTAGCATCGTTGCAGAATGAGGTGAAT